TGGTGATCCACAGGGGATGCAGGGTGAAGATCCATAGGGAATCTGGGTTGGTGATCCACAGGGGATCCAGGGTGGAGATCCATAGGGAATCTGGGTTGGTGATCCACAGGGGATGCAGGGTGAAGATCCATAGGGAATCTGGGTTGGTGATCCACAGGGGATCCAGGGTGGAGATCCATAGGGAATCTGGGTTGGTGATCCACAGGGGATCCAGGATGGGGATCCACAGGGGGTCCAGGTGATCCACAGAGCAGAGTGGTCAGGGCTGGAGGGGTCAGCCCTGACCCCAGCTGGGATTTCTTGTGCTGGATGGAGGTTGGGCTTAGGGGATGACACTGCTCAAGGGGATGGAGCAGCTTTTCCTTCATTCTCCTTCACTTTGGTACGTTTTGGGTGGGGCTGTGACATCTCCTGAGCTTCCTTCCCACACGGTAAAGAGATGATGCTCCAGGTCCTGGAGCTCCGGGCTGGGTGTAGCAGTGGAGGATCTTCCATCATATTTCCACAAAAAAGGTGTATTTTTCCATTCCCAACCAAATCCCTGTGCCGTGGGCCCCTGGAGAGGGGAGAGTGGTGGCCACCAGGCCCTGCCTGGCTCGGGTTGGACTTTGGGCAGGTCTCACCATGGTTTGGTCCCAGCAGTTGCTGTCGCTGAGGCAGAAGAAGCGTTTTAATTCCAACACTTGAGAATCTGATTTCTCCCTTTGGTGTTCCACTGAAAAGTTTGGAAAGCTGCAAAAACACAGGGAATAATGTAAATACGGGGGAGACCCAGGTGGGAATTGGAAACTGGGCTCTAACTTGTGTTTCCCTCCCCTCTCCATGGTGACACCAGCGTGACGCTGTCGCTGGAGGCCAAGCTGCACCTGCTGCACAGCTACATGAATGTGAGGTGGATCACGTTGCCTTGTGACACGCAGGTAAAGGGACCAGGGGGATCTTCTTTACCTGTGAATTATTTAACCCTCCTCTCCGCAGGGCAGCTGGTGTGGGGCCTCACCTGGGGGGCTCTGCCCGACGGATTTGCAGCTGGTTCTGCTCTGAGCAGGGAAGTGACTCGGTTTGGTGGGTGTGCACCTCTTTCTCAGAGCTTTCCGTGCCCGTTTTCACTCTTCACACCACCCAGAAGCCCCCGTGCCCCTCAGGGCAGGGAAGGGGACGCTCCGTGCTCCAAACAAACAGGAGCTGTTGGTTTACAGCCACCTCGAGACTGGGACCAAGTATCTTCCCCCCTCTTCACTGGCTTTGCCCCTGAAACCTCGAGCCAGTGGAGATGTTACAGAACCCCAGAATAGCGTCATCAAATCATAGAACAAAATCATAAAGTCCCAGAATATCCCAGGTTGGAAGGGTGCCACGGGGATATCTGTGGGTGTGCAGGGCAGCATCGCTCGGTGTCTGAACGTCATCCCCTCCGTGCTCCAAGCAACATCACCTCCTTTGCTTGACTTTCCACGTGAAAATCCTTACCCGAGGAATTCCTAGAGTTTGATATTTGGCTTTCCTTCTTCCCCAGGCGCCTCTGGCCCAGCCGGAATCCCCCACGGCCTCTGCAGGGGACGACGCTCGTTCAGCGGCAGAGTCGGGCGAGTCGGACAAGGAGTCGGTGTGCAGCAGCTCTGCCAGCAACGGGGGCCTGAGGGCAGGCAAGGACAGGGAGAAACCAAAGAAAGAGCGGGAAAAGGAGAAGGAAAAGGATAAGAAACGGGCGGACTCGGTGGCCAACAAGCTGGGAAGCTTCGGGAAGACTCTGGGCAGCAAGCTAAAAAAGAACATGGGGGGCTTGATGCACAGCAAGGCCGTGAAGGGCGGCCTGAGCAACGGGCAGGGAGACACCCTGGAGAAGAAGAAGAAAGGGTCCCTGAAGGCACGGAAAGGCAGCAAAGAGGAATGTTCCCCAGGAGACTTGGCAGCTCCCGCGGAGAAGGCGTGCCCGGGGAAAGCGGCCCCGGAGAAGGCGCCGGATCCCTCCAAGTACGGCAGCGACGTGCGGCTGAGCCTGAGCATCCTGCGCGCGGCCATGCAGGGCGAGCGCAAGTTCATCTTCGCCGGCCACCTCAAGACCAGCACCCGGCACCAGTTCCAGGAGGAGATGATCCAGAGGTACCTCCTGGACGCCGAGGAGCGCTTCCTGGCCGAGCAGAGGCAGAAGGAGGCGGAGAAGAAGGCGCTGGGCAGCGCTGCCCCGGCCAAGAAGCCGGAGGGGGACGCGGGCGCCCACCGGGGCGAGGAGGTGATGCCAGGCCCTGTGTTCCCCCAGCTGCCCCCCGCCTACCCCTCCCAGCCCCTGGAGCCAGCCCTGGGCGCTAAAATAGCCGCTTTTCCCACGGGCTATTCCGGCGTTTTCACCTTCCCCAGGCCCTCCGTGGGCAGCGCGGAGGGGCCGCACCCCCCCGGGTGCCCCGAGGGCCGGAGGCAGCTGGCGGGGGGGCCCTGCGGGAGCCTCCCCCCCTACGCCACCCTGCCCCGGCACCACCAGGCCCGGCCCGGCCCCCCCGGCCCTGCCCACCCGGGCAGGTTCTCCCCCACGGACATGGACATCCAGCCCCCCTTCCCGCCGGAGTGCGAGGGCTCCGGCTGCCTCCCCCCCCCCAGCAACGGCTGCCGGGAATTCCTGGAGCAGGACAAGGGGGGAACGGCGGATAAAACGAGAAGCCGAGCCCTCTACAACATCCAGCAGACCAAGTGCAAACAGCCCAACTGCAGCTTTTACGGACACCCGGAGACTGGGAATTTCTGTTCCTGCTGTTACAAGGAGGAGCTGCGGCGCCGGGAGCGGGAGGCGCTGGTGCACAGGTTCTGACGCTCCCCCCACCCCCGTGCGGATCTGGGCCCCCTGGAACACGGGGAATGCAATAATATAGATCCATTATGGTTTTATACACCCCCCCCGCCCCCCTTCCCGGGAGCGGGCGATCGTGGGATTGGGCTGGTGGGATGGAGGGGGCTGCAGGAGGGAGAGGGCAGGGGAAAACCAGCCCCCGCCTTCCCGGAGCCCCTGCGAGGGAGGAGGAGGAATCCCGGGGATGGCTTGGGACAGCGGGGGCTGCTCGGGTCGGAGCACAGGGTGAGGGGGGAGAATTCCTCAAAAACTCAATAAACCAGACCAAAGCTTTGGGAGCTGGGGGGGAGGGTGAGGGGGGGCAGCCCCCGCCGGGTCCTTCCCGTCGCCCCCGACCGCCCGGGACGGAGCGAAAACGCCCCAGTTGGAGCGTCACAAACCTTTTAATGGAGTTTTTTAACACTGGTTTTATTCTGTATTTCTTCTTGCTGGTACTGAGCGACGGTCGGAGTTGGACACTGGTGGGGTGGGGTGGGTCGGACTCCCCCTGCCCGGCCCCGGGATGGCTCCGAGCGCTGGGAGGGCGGGCTCGGGCTCTGCCCCTCCGTGGGCTCTGCCCTCCCCCACGGGCTCTTCCCCCGCCCCCGACGGGCTCAGCTCTGGTTTTAAAATGCTCTTTTTAAACACTTCCTGGGGCAGGGGGAGCTCCCAGCGCTCCAGGGGTTGGAGCTTTATTTTCCCGTGTGGAAGCCCCAGCCCGCGGGAGAACCGAAGGTCGGAGTCTCCTGGCAGGAATTCCCGCCGGAGTGGGGCAGATCCCCCCAGGGCAGGGGGGAATCAATCCGGGGGGGTCGCATAACTCCGTACTTGAGCACAGCTACTCGTACTACCTCTGATCCCGATTAACTCGGCTCCGTTGTGCTGAGCCACCAACTGACCTTTAGGCTGCGGAATTAATCCATATTTTTGATAACAGGGCTAAAAAGCGGAACAATAAGGTAAAAATCCTCCCGTGACTAATGTCCCACGGCATTCCCAGCCCCATCCCGGCCTCCCCCTCACCCCCCCCGCCAGCTCCCAGGGTGGGATTCACTTTAGCACTGCGAAGTTTGCACAGAATTCCTTGGGTTTTTTGGTAACTGCAGCTCCCAAACCGGCCCCAGTCCTGCACAGAGCGAGGTGCAGCGTTTCCCATCACACGGAAATAAAACAGGAGTTCTATCCGTCAGCCCGAGCTTTACGACATTCCCTTGTTTTTATTTTGGGGTTTGTTTTCCAGAAGGCACCAAACTATGCAACCCCCCCCTCCCGAGCTGCTCCTGCCTGTGGCCCTTCCTGGGAGAAGGGATAGGGGATGGGGTGGAGGAGCTGGAAGGGTGCTGAGCTCGGGGCTCACCCGACGCCTTACGCTTGGCCCTGCAAATGTTGACTTAGACCTAAAACCCCCCAGAATTAAGGCCTTTCCTACACCTAAACCCCCTCAGATTAAGGCCTTTCCGAGCGGCATCCCAACACTTTGAATCCACCCAACAACGCTCCCTTGCCCACGAATTTTCAAATCCGAATTTCGAACGCCCCGGGGATGGTTTGACTCCAGTTTTAAGTCGTTTCCCCTGGTTTTATGAAATCCCCAAGCTCCTGCTCCCTCTGGCTCCTCTGGCCTCAGAACAAAGGCCAGAGAGTGCAGTTTTTCCCTCAAACTGCAGGAATTCCGATGGACTTTACCCCCGGGGCAGGGATGTGCCACAGGCTCTGCCCCCACTTGGTTCACCCCGGATTTTGAGCCGAGGTGGTTTAAAACCAAACCAAACCTTCGACTGTTGTGTGGGCACTTGGGTTTAAGTTCCAGTTTCCCGTGTTCATTTTTCCCAAAATCAGAGCAGCAGCTTTATTTTGGGGTTGGGAATATCCTCCAGCTGTGCTGGGAGCTCCAGGAGCAGGGATGCCCCACGGCACAGGGGGGAAGGTGGGGGGTGACACTTCACTGCTGGTTCCTTGGGTTTGGGGAGAATTTCTCTGCAATTTGGTTAAATCCATCCCGATGGATGCTGGCTTTGGGGGGGGTGGGAAGCACCCGGACCCGCTCGCTGCTTTATTGGGTTTGGGGGGGCGGGGAGAGAGAGGGAAAATGCAGAAAACCTGGAGGAAAAGCACCAAACCTGCCCCGGGGAGGGATTTTTCCACTGGGATGGGGACGGGGAGGCTGCAATGTGACCCCAAGGTCAAACTAAGTGCACTTACTGGTGTGGTTGGAATTCAAATCGCTGCCATCGGATCCTGGTGGAAGAACACTTTGTCTTTCAGGGTGTGTAAAACCCGTTCTTGGGATTTTCTTTGATTTTATTGAACGAGATTCACCTTCGCCGCTCCCCGGCCCCCTCGGCGGGGGAGGCCGGGGCAGCTTTGGGTCTCACTAACGCCGAGTGACCTGAATTAATTCTGCAGTGGTTTATTCACAAAAAAAAAAAGAAAAGAAAAACAAAACCAACCTTTTTTTTTATTATTATTATTATTAATTCCGTATTAATTGGTGATATTCGGCCTCCTGGTGAGCAGGGCTGGAGCGGCGCGGTCGGGCTGTACCTGCGGCCTCGTTGTGCTGCCACAGACTCACTGACAATAAAAACCTTCAGCTGATGCACCCGGGCAGTGCTGAGGCTCCTTCCTCCCCTCACCCCTCCTGGGGACCCCAATTCCCTCCTGGGGACCCCAATTCCCTCCTGGGGCTGCTCCTCATCCCCTTCTCCATCCCCAAAACAGCTGATGCACCCGGGCAGCGCCGAGGCTCCTTCCTCCCCTCACGCTGGGGGTCCCCAATTCCCTCCCTGGGGCTGTTCCTCATCCCCTCCTCCATCCAATTATTGGGATTTTGGGGTTTTTCTTGTCCACTGAGGAGCACAGTGTCCTCTCTCCTGGGGAGCGGGTAAGTTCCCCTTCTATTCCTTCTATTTCCTTCTATTCCATTTGTTCTGTGATTCCATTTCTGTACCAGTTCTGGGCTTTGATTTTAAAAAGAACCCCGTAACCACCCCTCCCTCCCATTTCTGTCTGTCCTTGCTGATTTTGGAGCCTTTTCCCCAACTGCATCCCAAGGACGACCCCGAGGGATGCTCTGGTTTTTGACCCCAGCCTCAGGATAAAATCCAGGGATAAAATCCAGCTGCCTCCCAGCATGGGCTGTCCAAACACTGAAGCTTTAAATGGGTTCAGAAAGAGGAAAACGGGGTTTGGGGGTGGTTGGAGGTGGACTGTGGGAGGTGGGACCCTGGGCACGGCTTCCCGTGGGATTTCTGTGCACTGGGATTTTCTCTCCCAGCTCCTGGTGTTTTCCCTTCCTCCCGGTGTCCCCAGTGGCTGCTCCGTGCCCGGTGCCACGTCTGTGCCGGACGATTTTCCTCCAGGATTTTTTCTGCTGGGGTGGCCCGGGCTGACCCCGCGCTGGCAGTGGAGCAGCTCCCGGCTCAAAGCCTCCAGGAAATTCCTCTCATCTGCCAGGTGCCGGAGCCAAAATCCCATCCAAGCCCCCGGGATCCTCCGCCAGGTGATTCTCCTGCAGGAGGAAAACTGGGGCACACGAGCTGCAGCCCCCGGGGCTGGGGCTGCCCCAAAAATCCGGGGGGAAACACACCAAAAATGGGATTTGGAGCTCCAAAGGTGCTCCGGTGGGTTTTCCATGAGCCTGGATTGTGTCAGGATTTACATCCCCGTGTGCTGGTGCTGCTGCCGCCTTGGCAGCCTTGCGGTTTGGGGGTCCTGGGGGTCTCTTGGCACTTGGGGGGTGGCACAGGTGGCCCCAGGGCCACCACCCACCTGCCGCCGGGTGCGGGGTCGGCGAGGCGGGGGCCGGGTGGGCCCGGCTCGGGAGCCGCTGTTCCAGCTGGGAGGAGAAGGCTCCGTGCTTGGGCCGTGAGTCACCGCGCTCCGCCCGGCCCCGGGAGAGGCCCCGGGGCCCCCCCGAGACGCTGCGGGGACGGGACGGGGTTTGGGGGTTCCCCTGCCCGGGGCAGCGCTCATGGGGGGCCGGGGCTCGGGGACCGCAGGACCGCCCGTCCCTGGCGGGGTCCCCGGGGCTGCGGGGACCCCAGAACGGCCCGTCCCTGGACGGGGTCCCCAGGGCTGTCCCCTCCACCCCCCCCTCCACCATCCGCCTGGGCTCTCCCCGCTTTCCCCCCGCCGGGACCGGGCGCTGGGATGGCGGGGGGCGGGATGCCGGGAGCGGAAGGGTCGGGATGTCGGGACGCGTGGAATCCCGGGTCCCGGGGGGGCGGGATGCCGGGGCAGGGATGCCGGGGGAGGGCGGGATGCCGGGGTGAGGGGCGGGATGCCGGGGCCGGGCCGGGCGCTCCGGGCTCCCTCCCGGCCGCTCCGGCCCCGCCGCTCCGGGCCCGCCCGGCCAAAGTCCCTGCGCCATGAACGGGGCCCCGGGCGGGCGCCGCCCGGCCTTCCCCGGGCTCCCAGGTAGGGCCGGGGCCGGGACCGGGGGGTCCGGGGGTCCCAGTGGGGCTCGGGGGGCTGGGGGCCCTCGGAGCCCCGGACCCAGTGCCGGTCCCCGCAGGGGAGCGGGTGCTGGAGGAGGCGGCGGGCGCCCGGCAGCGCTGCGGGGACGGCGGCGGCTCCGTCCCGGGAACGCTGCTCTGCACCAACCGCCGCCTCGCCTTCCTGCCCGGCCAGGTGCGACGGGAACGCCGGGAATACCGGGAACGGGACCGCGGGACCCCGCGCTGCCCCCCCGCAGCCCGACCCCAAACCCACCGCATCCCTGTCCCATCCCGACCCCATCCCACCGCATCCCTGTCCCATCCCGACCCCAACCCACCGCATCCCTGTCCCCTCCCGACCCCATCCCACCGCACCCCGACCGCCAGGCCAGCCCCTTCCCACCCCATCCCAGCTTCACTCCAACCCCATCCTGCCCCCCATCCTGGTTGCATCTACACCCCCTGCCAGCTCCACCTCAGCCCCATTCCAGCTCCATCCCAACCCCAGCCCAGCCCACCCTGGCTGGTTGAACGCAGAACCTCCGTGTTCGTCCCGGGAGCTCCTCGCAGCAGGACGGTGTGGGGGACGAGGAACAAGGAATGAGGGACACGGGACAGCCGTAGGGTCCCGATCCATCCCCACCGCCCTTCCAGGGATCGGGAGGGGACACTCCGGGGCAGCTTCCAGCCCTCCCTGCTCTCCCACAGGCCCCGGGCTCCCACAGCCTCCTCCGCTCCGAGGACGAGGTGGCCCTGACCTGCATCCGCGAGCTGGTGGCAGGTAACAGGACACCGCGGGCCACGTGTGATGAGCTGGGCAGGTCTCAGCTCTCAGCCCTGTGTGATGAGCTGGGCAGGTCTCAGCTCTCAGCCCTGTGTGATGAGCTGGGCAGGTCTCGGCTCTCAGCCCTGTGTGATGAGCTGGGCAGGTCTCAGCTCTCAGCCCTGTATGATGAGCTGTATGATGGGCAGGTCTCAGCTGGCCCTGACAGCCTCCCCCCACCCCGTGTCCCCCCAGCCAGCAGCTTCTCCAAGCCCAAGGTGCTCACGGCCACCTCCACCCTCAAGTTCATCCCCGAGGAACTCGCCGTGTTCTGCCGGGATTTCCGCCTGCTCCGCTTCCACTTCCCCGAGAACGGGTTGGCTCTGCAGGCGTTCCGGGTGAGCCGAGGGGGGAGTGCAGAAGTTTTGGACCCTCACTCTGGGTTCTGGGGGGGTCGGGGGGCTCACACCCCACCCCGGCTGCCCTCGCAGGTGGCCAATGCCATCGCCCAGGCACGGGAAGCAGCTATGAGGCCAGAGGATGCCACCGACGGACACGATGGCTGGTCCTGCCCTGCCGAGGCCCCCCCGGAGGAAGAGGAGGATGATGAGGAGGGCGATGAGGAGGAGGAAGGCCTGGGTGCCACGCTGCTCTTTGAGAGCCTGCAGGACTGGGAGGAGGAGCTGGAGCGTTTGGGTGCCGCGGGCTGGAGGGTGAGCGTCGTCAACGAGCGCTTCGACATGGCCCCCAGGTACGGCCTCCCCGGGCACGGGGGTCCTGGGCCCCCCAACACCCAGGGGGGTGGCACAGCACGGACCTCCCACCCCCCCAGAGGGATCAGCCACGTAGGGCTGTGGGGAAACCCCCCCCTCTGT